TCCCCTAGGTCCCAGTTCAGAGACTCCTGTAGATGGCCACCACTTACTGTAGATGGCCCTCCTACTCCTCTGTAGAGCTCTGCAGCCCTAGGATCCTTTTTGCCTTTGCCTCAGGGCTCCAGCTTATAGAGATCCCCGCATCCCACATGGAGCTGCCTTCAGCTCCTTGGATTATTGCCTGCAGCACTGCTATGTTGTGGCAGAGGGCAGCAAGCACCTTGGTCTGCAAGGCAGCAAGTCCTCTTCTCTCCTCAAGCTCCAGAGAGTAACTGAAGCTCTGGAACAGCCTGGCTGCTCTTTGCAGCCCCTCTCTAATTGACTGCCTCCTGCACAGACTCCCTAAGGCACTATTGACTCCTTATGAGCCAGGGTGGGGCATCACAAAGCAATTCTGGAACAGCAAATCACGTTCTCATAAAGCTGAATTTTCAAGAACCTTCAAAGATCACAATTGACTGTGACAGGAAAACACAAGTGTCTGTCTGCACTCCACTAAATAGTCTGCATTCCGTGAATAAGGAACCAAGGATGCACTGGTAACAAAGTCTGACAGGAAAGCCAATTTAGAGCAGTGTCTACCTCCCTTGATGCTCTTCTCCCTAAGAATTATTTCAGTTCGTGCTCTGCACACCCATGCTTGGATTGTTTTCTTTCAGGCAACTTTTTATTTTTGTAGTAGTGACTACATGGAACTAACTCTTTGAGAGAGCATCTCCATGGGAATGTCTGTTTTGAAGATAAAATGTAGATGTCCTGGTTTGTTTAGTCATCAGGGATTTTATGCATATAATTCTTGACCCGGACAATTTAATAGTATTGTATATACTGTTATGAACATACACCTGGTAAAAATGTCTTTACCTTTATTAAACAGCAGCACAAAGTGCTTTCCTTTGCACTTAAAAGTCAAATCTTCCGAAGTGCACTGATTTGATGCTTGGAAACCAAAATGCATGTGTACACATACAGGTATATGCTTGAACAGCAATGTGAGGACACTAAATCCAGCATAGCCATTACAGATTATTATTTTTTTAATAACTGGGGGCTAAACTGAGGATGCTACCACCAGAACCACTCCTCTTTATCTTGGAATTTGATACATTTTTAGCACTGTTAGGCAGAATTTCTGGAGTTTCTAGTTGGGACAGCAATGAACAAATATTTGTAGATGTTGGGGGACTGTAAACCTAGATTGGCGAGGTATTCGTTCAAAAACTTGACTAATGGCCCAAGACAAAGATGGGGATCCTTTTTTGGGTCAGAGGCCACTAACCCACAGAGATATCAGTTGGGGGCCACATGTAAGTGAGAAGCAAAACAACCCCCCCCCCCACCCCACACCATACACTTATGTGCACATACAAAAATTGATGAAAAAAGTTTAGAATTTTACTGTGATTGCTAAATTTGCTTTTTGCAGAGAAGCAGTTAGGGGGCAGGGAGGATTTCCCTGCCTTCCCACTCCTGTAAGGGATTCCCCCCTCCTCAGGTCCCTCATGCCTTCTTAACTGTTAAGGAGGCATTGCTGGTAGCATATGGTTTCAGTCTGCCAGATTCTGTTCCCTGATGCAGCCAGCCTAGTCGGGGAAGGGGAGAGAAGCCTGCCCGCTGTGGCCTCCCCTTCCACCCAAAAAGTGTCCCATGCAGGGAAGGGGCTCAGGGCCTTCCCTTCCCTCCTGCTCTGGGAATGGATCCCTCCCCCTTGCTCTCCTCTGGTCCGGCACACCTCTGTACCAGCAAAAGGAGTTTTGCTGGCAGCTTCTGCAGCTGTGGGAGGCTGGAAAGCAGCTGCAGCCTCTTGTTCGCTGCTGCCTCCCGAAACACTGCAGGTCTCCACCCTGTGGAGCTTCTCCCTCCTGTGCACACCTTTCCCACATGCAGGAGAGAAACCGGAAATCTGGCCACGCTGCAGGGGAGGCTGGGGGAAGTCTGTAAAGCAGCCCCTGGGGCCTCCCTGAGGTGTCTACAGCCACTGGACCCCTCCCCACCCCGTCCCCCAAGGGCAGGATGAAATTGTTTGGTGGGCCAGGGCAGAGGTTACCCACCCCTGGACTAAGATATCCTTCCATGGCTAAACAAGAGACTTCACCAATTAACCACTGGGGAAAATAGGTAACTAAAGGCTTCTTGAATTAAATGGAAGTTAAAAGGAAGAAAAGAAAAAAATGCTACAATAAAGGGGTTTGTCACGGTAACTGATGTTATTAGTTCAGTCTCGTGGTTTTTCTAGGACCTACCTTTGGAATGATGGAGCTTTATTATAATGCATGTTCATTGTGTAAATTGCTGTAGTGTACAAATCCTTGTAACAAATTTAAGATCATTGTTTCTCCTTTGGATTACTTTGTAAAACAAAACTTAACCATTAGCATGACAAATTTTGCTTATACCCCTCAGAAGGGTTGTTTGTAACCCTACTATAATAAAATATCCATCCAACTTCAAAATTTCTCTAAAATCTCATCTAGCAGACAATTAGTGGACAACTAATATTTAGGATCTGTTTTTGACCTGATTATTATATTTTAAAGCCTACATAGAGTTGCTTCAACCATTTTTAAACGAACAGCTATGTATTACTTCTTTATTAGTATGTTGTGGGGGTGAGGGGAGAGAAATAGGTCACATGCCAGATAAAGACTGCAGTTTCAAAACCACAGTCATCTTCATTTACGTGTGACATGCTGGGATGTAAATCTATCCCTACACTAGCCTACTGCACACTGGGTCTCTGCTGTTATGCACTAAAATTCCATAGTGCTCTTTGAACTGCTGTTTCAAAGTGGGTTAGGATCAATGAGTGCTACAGAACTGCAGCACCCGGAAGCAGGCTAGGGAGGGGTAGATTTATAGCCCAGCTTGCAGGGGGAAGGAGTGACGGGAAGATGTTGCATGGACAAGCCTTTAAGGAAATGACTGTTATGACTCGTAAACAGCAATAAAACCAATTTTTGCCAAAAAGGGATGAGGGGGAATTTGACAAGGAAACAGATTTCAAACCTTTCAGAGAAGTTAATGCAGTAATGAAAGAGTGATTACCACTAGGTGAAATGCCTTGTGTGTTTCTGACATGCTACTTCTACTTGGTAAAGAAGGTTGGTTAGTTTGTTTCAGGATTACAGTGTAAATGAACTTGTTACATTTTTAAATATTCAAACTGTATCATGTGCTGTTTTCCTACAGCAACACAGCCTTCTACACATGTCCTACCATGTTATTTTATAACTTTTTGCTTCCTTGGCCTGCATTTAACTGCAGTAACTCTCACATACTCAAGTGGGTGCACATGCTGTTTACTTAGACTTGTCTAGAGTGCCACTGTTTTGGAAATACAAAATGTTTCATGCATAGTTAGTTCTACATGAAAGCTAAAGTTGCATTGTTGAGAAGGAGCATAAATAACTGAATACAATCTGTTATTTTCTATTTCTGCAATAGCTAATCAGAAAAGTTACTCTAACCTTTAAAGCAGATAATATCAGGGAACAGAGGATATAAGGAAGAGATCCAGACACATGATTAAAACGTCTGGGAAAAAAGGTCTAAATTTAGATTAAGTTCCTTAGAGCAGCAACTGTGTATGTTTATACAGAGTCTAGCATCACAGGATCCTGCTCTTCATTGGGACCTTGTGTGCTATTGTAATACAAATAATGATAATGCTGGTAGAAAATATAATTAGTAAAACATGAAATAATTTCAAACTGAGCAAAATAATGGAAGTTTTGTAGACAGCTAAGGGCCCAACTGGGTATTTAAATCTAGATCTCTGTACCTGGACAGAGTTTCACTGAAGTTGAGGGGCTCCGCTCACACCAGTTGTAGGATTTGCAGCTTTAGCATTAAACAGAAGGAAGTTATTTCCACATGGTACTTTATACCTTGGTACTTTAAACAAAGTTACAAAAACCACCAATAAATATTATTAAAGCTGTTTTATTTATCTTGAAAGTAATTCAATCCATCAGTTGTACAATATGCTACCATACACTTTTAAATGTAGTCCTCACTCTGCCTGAACAAAAAAAGGACACTGTCACAGTACAGAAAGAATAGCCTAAGTACTGAACTCTGCTGTGTACTACCCCTTTCAGTACTCTAGCCAGCAAAGTTAATATCTGGACACTATGCAACTATGGAGCTTAAAGTCCATGTATCACATTCATTGCAATATAGTTCACTGCAAACTCTGGGGAAAAAAAGCAAAGAAATCTAAAATTATAACACTTCTGTGCATACTTCAGGAAACTGAAACTATACTGAGACTTAAAACTTATGGTAGTTGATTTATTTCAAATTTCATCAAAATATTTCCACATCAATTTACTGTTGTACAGATTTTAAAACTTGTTCTAGGATTAGATGTTTTTACTAACAAAAACTGATCTTTAAAAAAAAAGATGATGCTAGCAGAACTATTTTTTATTTTCAGCAAGGATTTCTAAATAAGTTACCCACACAAGATTTTTAAAAAACATGTTTCTGTGTCATAAAACCAAGGTGCTTTTTTCTACTATATCTGCTTGAATTTAAGCAGTTGCACAAAATAAATCTTCATTAAAAAGAATGGATAATTCTAAAGGCAACAGTCACTTAAAAAGCTGCATCTGTTAGATGGTTAGAAATACCTTTCCTTTGTACTAAGCAAAACACCCACAACTGAGTAGTTAATTTAAAAATGTATGGCTGCGTCTAGACTGGCATGATTTTGCGCAAATACTTTAACGGAAATGTTTTTCCGTTAAAAGTATTTGCGCAAGAGAGAGTCTACACTGGCATGGATGCTTTCGCGCAAAAGCACATCTCTTGTGCAAAGGCACATGCCAGTGTAGATGCTCTCTTGCGCAAATACTTTAATGCAAAAACTCTTGTGTTAAAAGTATTTGCGCAAAATCATGCCAGGGTAGACGTAGCCCTGGCGTCTTCAGTCTGTTGGGTCAGACCCTAATGCCCTTGGAGGAATAAAGCTGCAAATATTCCTGTGTCTATCCCTCGCGGACAGTGTAGACAGGCGGCAAGATTTTGCTCAAAAGCGGCTGCTTTTGTGCAAAATCTTGCCAGTCTAGACGCACCCTATTTGTTTAGCAATAATTCAAGTAGTCTTAAAGGATGTGCCCTTTTATGGAGACAGGGAGGACTTTGATCAAACTTTTCAAACCTGAATGCTTCAAATGTCAGATTCGATCTAAATACGAATGTGTGTACACCTGCAAATCCACTGAGGTCACTGGGAACTGGAGCTGGTGGCCACTTTGAAGACAAGGCTATTTATTCTTAAGAAGCCAACTTGAGGAACATGGGGTTTAACTAAGGTTCTATTCCTGTTTCTTGGAAAAACGGAGTAAGCAAAATCATTGACTTAAAAAAAATCAATATTTATAGAGGTCACAGCAAGAAATTCCACCTTGGTGGTAATTTAATTTATTTTATGTACATTTTTCAGGATCCAGAAATATCAGACAGTACACTTTGAGTATTTTGTACTTTGGCCAAAAAAAAAAAAAAAAAAAAAAAAAAACGCAAAAAATTGGTTCCTGAAACACACTCATCATTCTGAGTAATTCATACTTAATGATGTTCAAATTGACTAACCGATGATCAGCAGTGTAACTGTCCACTCAAACTGTGAGGGGAAAAAAGTACTAGAAGATGTTTAAAATCTGAGGTATCTGCTATTTGTTTCAGTAGTATGGCTATGAGAGTTTACTTTACACTTTGTTTGCTTGCAGGTTGTACTTAAAATGTTAGGGCCTAATCCCGCAACAGTTATGACTGCATGCATAGTTAATGGGCCTTAGCATGGTAATTCTACTGAGGCATAAGTCGTTGCAGTATCTGGCCCCCAATTCACAAAATACGCAAATAGTGCATAAAATTCCAACATTAAAATGAAATCTAATGAACAAAAGAATTAGTGCATTTCAAATCATTCTATCTAACTTTATTTTTAATAGTTTAAAATAAGTAGAATGAATTGGACTCAAATGAACAATGTTGCTGTAGGAAACTGAAAAACTTTTCCAAATCCACAAAAATATATAAATTAATAAACTCGGTGGCTTACACTGTGTACATGCTACATCATAAGGCATAATATCAATGAAAACACTGAAACAAAAAAAGCCAAATACTTTAAACTAACAATTGATAATAAAAAAACGTAACTAACATGGTGGCTGAAAAACAAAGGCAAATGCAGAGATGTGTGCTGGTACATCACATGGTCCTGAGAAGATGATCATTTTTCTTCAGTAGCCAATGAATCAGTTCCATCATTTAGTTTTTGCTTTTGCATTCTTGTTCGAGTAGATGCTAGAGAAAAGTGACAGTAACTTTTAACCACCTTTTACAGTAAATCAACTTGTGCAAAATAACTTTAAAGGGTGTCTCTAAAGGGTTAGTGATACAAACAAATTAAACCCTAATTTGAACCACAAGTGCTCAAATATTTAATTCTGAAATACTTCAGTAATTCTGACTTACTAGTTTTACAGCCTTAAAGAACTGTGTACTGAATATTGGTTTATCTCCCACTATTGTTATAATCAAACTCTTATCTCTCTCTTTCCTGACATAAAGCACGTCCAGTGAGCCTTATATGCAATTCAAGTCTTTTATTACTCAGAGACAGCTGATAACTCAAGCAAGAGAGTGAAGAAAAAGAATAGTTGCTTCATAAACTGTATGATTGTGAGACACAGAGTCTTGATGTACAGAGACACCAATGTCCAGGAGGCAAAGGTGAGCCATGGGACTATGAAAACTCTCCTGGCAGAGAGAAAAACCCTGGGAAACCTAGTAAAATTAAACAGGGGTAAGAGAATACGAGATGCCCCGGCTTCTCAGTGTAAGAACTACTAAGTGTAGAGCATATTTTAAGTAACTGCAGGCAGAGAGGCCCGACAGAGAGCCCTGGGAAACCTTCCACATACTGAAAATCCAAAGCAGTACACCTGGTCTCTTAGGTGCTACAGGATCAAGTGATAATTTCTAGTAATTTAGTACAGATGACTCTGTTGGAAAATGTTTAGGAATACACTTCGGTGTGGCTGCTTTAAAAGGTGGACGTTAGCACAGATTTCACTGCATGGATATATGAAACAAGAAGACCATAAAAAGATAAAGCACATTAAAATGGAGCCTAAAAAGTAGCACTATCAAAAGCTGCATCTGAGACCTCCCATCAAATGCAGTATTTAACCACATGACTTTTCTGCCCATAAAGGCTGCTGATCTTGAGTGTCCTGCTTTATTTTCTGATAAGTGAGCCCTTTGTGTGCATTCTTACTAGTTAGAGTCATTTGGAAATGATGCCTTTGTAGGCTTTCATGCTGCTGGGTCTGGGATTAAAACAATATGAAAGCAAGCATTTTATCAACTGTTCTGTCCTTTTCAAGGGTATCATGACTCTTCTCCTGAGATCCAATGTAGGTTGCTGAATTTTGTTTGCATACTTGAAGTCAGTATTAAAACAACCCTAATTTTTAGGATGAATTCTTCTTCTGTATTAGTCTGTCTCTGTGGAGTATGCAGTAAAGTGGTTTGTTGGAGTGTGCTATGCACCCCCAAAATTCTGCCAAGATCACTGATGGTTAAGAGAGTAATACCATTTAGGTGCCTGCAGTACTAAAATAATGGTGGAATCTTCAAAAGTGTACCACATTGGCCTAACTGATCTTACTGAACTTGAGGAACTATACCATTCACTTCAGTAGGAGCAGAATGAGGCCAACTCTAAGCACTTTTGAAAATCCCACTCAAATCCCTTGTCAGACATCTCATTTTAGGTCTAATGCTTTCAACAGATATGCAAATATCATCTCATTTTAGGTCTAATGCTTTCAACAGGTATGCAAATATCATCTTCCAAAGAGGTCACCTGGGAACAACAAAGTGCAGATTTTATTAGTTTTTAAAGTACTGCGCACCAGTTCTGGTGACTATGAGGTAAAAGAGCTAATAGAATGTGAACTGTTTACATCTGTACCCTGCGCCCCCCCATACCACAAACTGAAAAAAGTTCCAAATAAAAATGTAAGTTTTCAAGTCTTCCTGCACCCCGTTTTCTTTAGCTCGTCTTCAGAAGCATCATAGACTCCGTATTCAATGTCTGAGGGAATGTTGAGAGAGTCAATTTTTCCCCCTTGATGGCAAGTGCAATAGGGTCTGGGATGTCAGATATGTCAGCTCTGAGAACTGATGAATGAGCAATCAACATCACTCTCTCATTGGTCTTCTATGCCATTCTGGACAGCAGTGGAATTGGACGGAAGGTACAGTAAGGAATTGAGATGACCAGTCCAATGACAGATATCCACTGCTGCCATTTTCTGGAGGTTCTCTCTGAGGAGAGGTTTTGTAACCTTTCCTGACACTGAATACTATTTACTAACCCAAAGAGACTATTTGTATAAGCAAGTCCCATTTGATTGAGTAAAGGATGAAAAATTCAGCACTAGAGCGCTATGCTGGTTTTCTGCAAAGGAGAAAGGTTATATAGGATGTTATTAGTTTGAAAGCTCATGGTACAGACATCATTTCCTGGAATCTCTGTGCTCCACAGATTCTGAGTCAAACTAAAGACTCTTCACTGTCTCCTAATCGAAATGTATCTTCCTATGATTTAATGGTGAGAATCTCTCTTTATAGACAGGGGATGATGCCAAAATCAGTCCGACACGTAATGGGGGTGCTGTCTGCTCTGTGTGATTCCCATTGACTCACCCACATGTGTATTGGCTCAGACATCTAGTCCCAGCCTGAGCAGATAACAAGGTTCTTCCCAGGGGGAGAGACAAAGGAAGGGAGGTGGAGATGGCCATCTGGCTGGGAGGGAGGGCCTGGGAGCTGGGCAGTTCTTGGCTGGGAAACATTAAGAAAAGAGACTAAGCTGACTCCTATGGATTCGGGGGCCTGTGGATCCCTACCCCAAGGGATCTGAGGCTGCCTAGGCCCTCACTTAGATGCCCACATAGAACGTGGACTGTGCTGTACCTCACAGAAGCAATAAACCCTCTGTATTCTACTGGCTGGAGGAGTCTCATCTTGCTACAGACGGGGTACAGGACTGGGGGGCACCCGACGTGCCACCACACAGTCCTCTTTAGGTTTCCATATGTTGTGCATTTGGTCAGTGCCTTGAGATTCAAAATATTTCTCATTTCTTTAGATCATAGAATCACAGAACAATAGAACTTGAAGGGATCTTGAGAAGTCATCGAGTCCAGTCCCCTACCCTCATGGCAGGACCAAGCACTGTGTAGACTCTCTCTGATAGATGTCTAACCTGCTCTTAAATATCTCCAGAGATGGGAGATTCCACAACCTCCCTAGGCAATTTATTCCAGTGTTTAACCATCTGACAGTTAGGAAGTTTTTTTTTTTAAATGTCCAACCTAAACCTCCATTGCTACAGTTTAAGCCCACTGCATCTTGTCCTATCATCAGGGGCCAAGGAGAACAATTTGTCTCCCTCCTCCTTGTGACACCCTTCTAGATACTTGAAAACCGCTATTATGTCCCCACTCAGTCGTCTCCTTTCCAAACTAAACAAACCCAATTCTTTCAGTTTTCCCACATAGCTCATGTTCGCTAGACCTTTAATTATTCTGGACTTTCTCCAATTTCCCCACATCTTTCTTGAAATGTGGTAACCAGAACTGGACACAGTACTCCAATGGAGGCCTAATCAGCGCAGAGTAGAGTAGAAGAATTACTTCTAGTGTTTTGCTCACAACACTCCTGTTAATACATCCCAGAATCATGTTTGCTTTTTTTGCAACAGCATCACACTGTTGACTCATATTTAGCTTGTGGTTCACTATGACCCCTAGATCCTTCCTAGACCAGTGTTTCCCATTCTGTATGTGTAAAACTGATTGTTCCTTCCTAAGTGGAGCACTTTGCATTTGTCCTTATAAAACTTCATCCTAATACCTCAGACCATTTCTCCAGTTTGTCCAGATCATTTCGAATTATGACCCTATCCTCGAAAGCAGTTGCAACCACTCTCAGTTTCGTATCATCAGTAAACTTAATAAGCGTACTCTCTATGCCGATATCTAAATCATTGAAAATGTTAAACAGAACCAGTCCCAAAACAGACCCCTGCGGAACCCCACTTGTTATGCCCTTCCAGCATGATTGTGAACCATTAATAACTACTCCCTGAGAATGGTTATCCAGCCAGTCATGCACCCACCTTATAGTAGCCCCATCTGTTTAGGCCCAGAATAAGGATAGAGTTTGTTCCAGACAATCTCTCTTTAGAGAGTAATGGCTTGGCTGGGCTTACCAGGATGACAGTCTGATGCTGCCTTCATTAATGTCAGTTTCTCAGGGTTATTTGTTGTCCTGAATTATATGAAGCAAATGTAGGAATTCCTCCAGCTAACATTTCAATAATTTTTAAGGATCTATTGATCTGATAATTTTTCCTATATGAAAAAAATATACATGTCCATCCTCTATTGGAACAACCAATTTCTTGGTCTCAGCTGCCATTGCAGCCTGATTTTTCAGGTACTGGTACTACCTGTTGGTAGGTTGGCTATTAGTTGTAAAGTTTCATTGCCTGTTTTGACATCTGCCCTTGGAAAGCTGGCTCAATAGTAAGTTGATTAAATCTCTTATGGCTAGGTTGATTTGAATTTAGAATTTCTTTTGTTAGTGGATAGAAAACATTTATATAATCAGATGATTTTGGCTTGGTATTTTAATGGGGTTGTTTCCAAATTTAATGCTAGTAGGTTTCTTTGAATCATAGTATTATATTTCTTATTGTGACCCTTTGAGAGATGGAATTCCAGGATCCCCACTTGGGTTTTATTGCCATTTTGTATTTTCTTAGTTGCAAGGTGCTTTGGTCAGAAGATGTATATAATCCAGTGTTAATTTATTTACCAGACTACAAAAACTGCTTATGCACTATTGTGTAACACTGCAGTAAACAGATCCTGTGTAATCTTTTGGGTTCCCTTCTTTTTAGACTGACCAAAGCTTCTTTTTTTTTTATTGTTTTCAAAAAGGTATGGAGGTATGATTCTAGCTAGTCTTCAAATATCCAACAGAGAATCTCAGCAGCAATGCCTGAGAGAAGTGGATCAATGAGAGACTGAATATGGCCAAAAATCAGTTTGTGAAGGGAAGACTGAGTTTCTCTTAGCCAAGAGAGCCTCCTCACCTGACTTGTCCTCAGAAGATATTCCTGTAATTAGTGGGGTACAACTACAGTGGCTGCTTCCCTCTGATGTAATAGCATTACTGGTGGGGGGGGGGGAAGGAGGGAGAGAGAGGTGTTGTGTTTTGGTGAGTATCCTGCTGCAGCTGGCCTGTCAAGGAGCCTAGACACTTCCTAAACTTCTGCTCTTCATTTAGCTCATACAGTTCTCAGTTCAATTGGGAAATCTGTGAGCAAAAGAGGCATCATGATGCTGTGGCAGAAGAGGGCCCCAAACTGCAGGTTGCCTTCCACACTTTCTGCAAACAGTTGCTCCAATAATCCAGCTGAAAGACATGAAAGTCTGCACTGGGAAGCAAGCAGGGACAGAAGACGAATCCATATATTGATATTGCTGGTAAAATTCCAAGACAGAATTTAGTAGATGGAGAGATTCTTTGAGCTCCACTCTCTACAATGGATCCAGACACATGAAGGAAGATAGGTAGGGATGGGCTCTCAAATGAAAGGAGAGCCTGACCACATGTAGGGATCAACAGACATATCCTATGTAACCCATAGTAATTTTCAGGGGAGTAGAACATAAGAGCAGCAGTTTTCCTTACACAAAAACTGTCTTGGATGGTCTTAGGATTTTTACTGGTGTAGTGCAGGGCCTACAAAGGAAGTGAAAGTAGGGAGGAAAGATACTCAAGGATCTGCCCCCAAATCTGCACCCATACTAAAACCTTTGACAGTCTACGATGTTAACTGCAACTGCCTCTGAGGGCATGTCTACACTATCAGCCAGATCAATGGATAGAGACTGATCAGCAGGGGTCGATTTATCGAGTCTAGTATGCTTGCAATAAATTGACTGCTGATCACTCTAGTGTCTACTCCGATATTCTACCTAAACAAGAAGTGCAAGGGGAGTTAACAGGAGAATGTCTTCACTGCGGTGTGTCAAAGGAAGACAACACATTAAATAGGTCTATGAGCACGGACTTCAGCTACATTATATATGTAGCTAAAGTTGTGTAACTTGGATCAATTTCTCCTGGTAGAGAAGATCAGGCCTGAAACAACCTTGCTACTGGACCATCAGGCAGCTGGAAACACTTGTTCACCAGAGCATCTCTGATTAATTGTATTTTGTACATGTATTTTACTTTTATTTTTGTATATGATAGCATTTATCTGCAAAACACAACAGCTCCAAAAGAAATGGGCACAGCAAAACTTATTTACCAGACTACGAAAACTGCTTAAGCATGACAAACACTACTGTTTAACATTTACTATACTGAGCAATTTATTTCTGTAACTAATTTAGAAAGATAAGATCGGTTATTAAATCAGTTTAAATGCAACTCTTTTAAGGGTAAGTGCAACTTTTACAATTAGTAAACCATGCTTAGAGTTGAATAATTTAGGAGAGGCTAAACATTCATTTTGACATTCAGTATTAAAGCTTTTAGTTCAATACTCTTTTATAGATCAGACTCATGCAAGTTGCTACGAACAACATGTGAAGATCTGAAAAGAAAGTACTATGCTGCTGTAAATCACAGTGTATGTCTTGCCCTCAAGCCTCACACCAAATCCCCGATATCCACCATGAGAGTTCTGTTGTATGTCCACAGCAGTATATCATACGATTCCCCTTCTCCCTTCAAAAATGTGCCACACAAATACATATGGTAGATCTCAACTACTAACTGAGCACATATTATACATGTCTTAAGATCCCCTTTCTATCCAAGAACAAATGATAACTTTATTACAACAAATATTTTGCATATTAATTGTAACTATCTTATGGCCAGTATTTATTCAGAAAGCGTCAATCTACGAATTGCAATGTTTAAGAAAAATTTCTCATGTTTGTA